TGCAATGTTGATATTCTGATCACATTACATATGCATAAGAAGATAGTATCAAGCCAAGCTTTATTTACATTTCCTAAGTGTCTTTTTTTTTTTTTCACTTTGTATAAACTAATGAGTGGTGCTGTTAGGGAATATATGTATCCCTCTTTGTGTAATGGATTAAGTGTGAGTCCTGTTAAACACTAGGCCATAAATCAGACTGTGTTCTCTATGCCTAATTAAGGGTTTAAAGGGGGAAAAGGTAAATTCTTGAATGAAGGGCTCTACTCAGAAGCAGAGTTTGTAATTTCACAAAGGAAGTAGAGAGATAAAGCAGAAAAAAAGAGAGCAATTTAAGAGAATGGAAGAGGAAAACTATGAAAGTGCTTTAGCCATTTTATTCTACTTTTCCTCAGATTTAAGAATGCTTTAGCTGCTAAAAGGACTAGATATAAGGTGAGCATTTTTTTTTATTTAGTGCACTTAAATGCACAATACTACAAACTGACGAGATAATTTAAACTGAGCATCAAACCATTCTAATCAACTAAAGAAGGAAAACTATATATATTGACAATGCAAATAAAATTAGTTACAGAGAGGTTTTGATGAAAATTTACAATCTTTTTTTCTTTTTAGCTACAATATTTCTATAATGAGAGCACATTGAAATCTTAGAATATTAAGCTGTTGTAGATTTCCAAAACAAAAGCAACCACAGTTAACCCACTTATTTCCTAGTAGAAGAATTGTCAATAGTTTAGATAAAATTAGTCTCAAACAATATTTTTAAAACACTTCTGTGTGTTCTGGAGTGAAGCTAATGTTTATCAGCATTTTGACTATATGTAATTAATAATGCTGATACTTGGCTCCATTTCACTTTGCTTTGTATTACTCTGAACTGCTCAGTTGAAATATTTGGGGAGGGAGCATTTTGCTATCAAGAGGGAAAAAAAAAGCAAATATATCTTGATTGGCTGCACTTTTATCATATGTACAATGAAAGGAATTATTTTACTCAGTTTCCAATAATTTACTTTTTACTCAGTAAGTATTTATTGTGGCTTGTATTATGACAAGTAATTTGCTTTGTGCTGGAAATTCAGTGAATGGGGCAGGGGAGAAAGAAGATAAGACACCACTTTCATGGAATTTCCAGACTACTTAGAACTTAATTGATCATTAACAAAAGATATCTAGGAAAAAAATAGGATTATTAAATATTATTATTTGTAGAATTCAGAGATTCTCAGCTTCTGCATTATATATATATATATTTAAGAAATGAACATTGCATGGTCATCAAGACCACCTAAGACTTCTCTCATCTCCCCTGCAACCCTTAACTCTATTCTCTTCAACTTTTATTACTCCTTCCCCACTCCACCTTCTGCTCTGTGCTGTGTCTGCTGGTGGGCATATGTGGGGGAGGGGTAGAAGAGATTTCCTTTCATTCCAGACTTCCACAGGCAATGGGATGTGGGATGGCTGGGGAAGCAATCTCAGTCCCTTATTCCTGCCTGAAACACCTAAATTTTCTCATCTATGGTCAACACTTTAATTAGCATCCATGGTGAAAATTTGTATTCCCTAACAGATCAGTTATGACACAACAACTTCTGTCCCCAGATTCTGAAGTCTCTGTCCCCAGATTCTGAAGTCTCTGTCCCCAGATTCTGAAGTCTCTCTTGTGTTAGTGTTGGATTTTCATATGAACATGAAACCTTTTGCAGTACAATATTACTTCTGTTTTGTTTTTTTTTTCAAACTGATATTGATTACTGTTTGGATTTTATCATTACCGAATGCTAATCAATGGTTAAATATCTTGTAATATAAAATAAGGGCTTCCTTAGTGGCTCAGATGGTAAAGCGTCTGCCTACAATGCAGGAGACCTGGGTTTGATCCCTGGGTTGGGAAGATCCCCTGGAGAAGGAAATGGCAACCCACTCCAGTACCCTTGCCCAGAAAATCCCAATGTCCCAGGACATTAAAGGCTCTGCTGGGATTGATGATGGGTGACATGCACACATGAGGTTGAACTGTTGACTTCTGAACCTAGAAGCAGGAATGGGATTTTAAAAAGCAGGGAAACGTAGAGAAGGTGCTATTAGATGTCAAATGAATTTCCACGCTATCCCTATTGCTATGTAATTGGGATGGGAATCTTAGAAAAGGAACAATTTATAAGGCAGTTCTGACTGGAACCTGTACTCTTTGAGTTACTCTTCTCTCCTCATTTGAAGGAAGGGTTCATGTGATCTTATATGAAATTTAAATGAATGCTAGCAGTGCCTGGTGGATGTCATCTTTCTGTTTGAATATTTTCCTAGCTCTCAATTGTCCTGACTTTTTACTGTACTTATATTTGGAAAAGCTTCTCTTAATTCCTACAAATTTGAACGTTCAAATCCTACCCATCCTTCGAATCCCATTTCAAAGAACATCTTTCTTAAAGCCTTCTTTAATCTCCCCAGTAGAGTTCTCTTACTAATTTTCATAAAATTTCACTTGTACATTTCTTGTGACATTCATCACATCACATTCATCTGTTTAAAAAGATACTCATGGAATTTAGCAAGCTATAAAAGATCTATAATTGATCCATATATTCCCTCTTCACAGCACATTTATTGAGAGATTGAGTTAGTCATAAGGAAAAGTATGGTTGAATGTAGATAAGTATACACAGAAGAAAAGAATGTAACAACAGCATCAGCATCTCTGGAAAGGGGCCCACCTCTATTCTGGTGCTATGTGAAACATATGCTATTTGGGTAGAGAATTTTGATCAAATCTTTAATCAGACTTAGTTTCTATAGACTCATTGTTGTTTGGTTTCTAAGTGTTTGACTCATTGCGACCCCATGGCCTGTAGCTCACCAGGCTCCTCTGTCCATGGGATTTTCCAGGCAAGAATACTGGAGTAGGTTGCCCTTTTCTTCTCCAGGGGATCTTCCTGACCAAGGGAACCCCTGTCTCCTAAGTGGCAGGCAGATTCTTTACTACTGAGCCACCTGGGATAGGTAGAATCTAAAGTGTCAGTTGATAATACTTTGCTCACTGTCAAAGAATGGATGTATAAACAACTTTTGTTTTAGTTTTTTAAAATACAATCATTTACATCTGCTTAAAGTGGATGATGGACTTCCCAGGTGGCTCAGTGATAAAGAATCCGCCCGCCAATGCAGGAGATGCAGGTTCAGTCTCTGGGTCTGAAACATCCTCTGGAGAAGAAGATCACAACCCAGTGTGATTTCCGCTCCAATATTCTTGCCTGGGGAATCCCATGGACAGAGCTTGTTGGGCTACAGTCCAGGGGGTCACAAAGAGTTGGACATGATTTACCAACTAAACAACAACAAAGTGCATTGATATATTTTCTTTAATGATCAGAATTGGTTATTAAAGAATAATAATTTGCTGCAAAGGAACTGAATATGTATGTTTTCCAAAAGTTCTTAAGCACTATTTCACAAACAAATAACAAATTATATGTTTATATATATATGCTATGGTCTGATTGCTTTAAATAAGTATTTCTGAATGGAAGAGAAAACATTAGAATGAGCATACAGATGCAAATGTAATATGAGTTTAATGTATATGAAATGTAAAGTTAAAATGTAATACACAGGAATAGAGTTATACAAAGGGCTTCCCTGTTAGCTGAGATGGTAAAGAATCCGCCCGCAAAGCAGGAGACCTGGGTTCAATCCCTGGGTCAGGAAGATCCCCTGGAGAAGGAAATGGCAACCCACTCCAGTAATCTTGCCCGGAAATCCCACGGCCAGATGAACCTGGCGGGCTGCAGGCCATGGGGTCACAGGAATCTGACACGACTCAGAGACCAAACTACCACTACTTTCAGCCCAGGGATAACTTCAGTGTGTTCTCTAAATCCATTTTTAAAAAGAAAAGAAAAAAAATGGAGATAATCTTTTGATATTTAAAAACAATGAATAGATTTTTATTCTAATGAATTAATAAGGTAAATATTTTTAAAGAATTAGCATAATCAGTTCTTTATGATTAAGTACTGCCTCTGCTTAATTTCAAATATTTTTATTACTTCAGTCATTTGACACTGTTCTCAAAGGAATCACCTTACTATAATTGTTTCATTCTTAGACATACATCTTTTCATTAGTTCAAGTTAGGAGTATTTATTTTTAAGCATTGCAGTTTAGAGTAATAGAAACAATATGGGATTAGGGTCAAAAGACTTGAGTTTGATTCAGAACTGATTTAGCTAGAGACCTTGAGTGCAATGTAATGTTTTTAAGCTTCATTTCCTCTTTTGTGCAGTAGAGGGAAAAATATATGTTTAACTGCGTTGTTTTGAGGATGAAATGAGATAATGTATATGAAAAAACAAGACTACTATTTACATACTTTATTATTACAGTCAGGAAATAACCGTACATAAATCATCCAGAATGAGTGCTCCTTTTGTTTTTTTAGATACCCAAGATAAATACCCACATAATTAATGTGTGGGTCACAGAGCCATTTCTTTCTTGGCGTAACAATAACTTTACCGACCTAAACACTTCACCAGCTATCTAAGAAGTTGGAAAGGTTACAATAAACTTTCAAGGCTTAACACTTTTTTTTTTTTTTTGGTAGTTCGCTAGCAAGGTTAACAGTCCAACTCTTCACGCACCCCAAACCTGGCCATTACAAACAATTTTCAAATACACAAGCGTTAGCTGAGCAATTGTTTAAATTCTCATCATGTTTTACGCTGTAGAATGATGACTGGACACTATTTAAAATAACTACTGCTAAGACACCGCACGGCACTGATCCACGGCCACCGCGCTTTGGTCTCGCATTGATTTAGATGATGTAGGGGCCCAACATTGTGTCAAGTTGCACCTTCAGTATTAGTTCTATATCAGAAGAGGCTCCCCCCAACCCCCGTCCCACCCTTGCAGGCTCTAGGAATCTACCTAGCCCAGCAGAAAAGGGTTAAAGGAGTCCAGCAGAGGGGAGCAGTGCAGAGAGAGAGAGAATGCGTGTGCGAGCGAGTGTGAGCGCACAGGACAGAGGCGTCGAGTTGTGGAGCGGACTCGTACGCAAGTTCCGAAGGCCCGCGTGTTCGCGGTGGCTGGCCCAAAAGGGGCCGGAGAGGCTCGGCCTGCGAGGAGCGGGCAGCGCCCGGAGGGGCTCGGAGTCTGGGTGGGAGGGAGAGGGGTCTCGCGAGGGTTTCAGGGCGTGGCTGGAGTGGGGGGCGCGCGGCGAGTGTGCGCGCGCGAGAGAGGGCGAGTGTGAGCGCGGCGAGTGTGAGCGCGGCGAGTGTGCGGCCGCGTCGCCATTCCCCGTGACGTCAGAGTGTATTGTTGTGAGCGGGGCCGAGCGGAGCATCCCCGGAGCTGTCACCGCGGCGGCGGNCGAGCGCCCGGCCGCGCTCCGCTTCGCTCTGCCGCTCCGGAGACCTTTGTGTGGCAATTACCACTCCCTCCCGGCCCCTCCACCCCCCGGAATTCCATCGATAACTCTCCGTGCACGGTCTGTGTGGGTTTCGACGTTTGTGAGTGCATACATTTCACACGTGCATGCCCGGCGTGTGCCCGACCCGGACTTGTGGGGCGTGTTGCATGTGGGCTCCGTCGTGGCGCCCCTGTGTGCCGTGTCGTGTGCATTATGTATGCACACTGATACGTGCAGGTTTTGTGTGGCTCAAGTTCGCTGGTGTTTGTAGGTATTGTGCTCAGCCCGATGTTTGTGTGTACATTCCGTGCACGTGTGTGCCATTTGTGAGTGTGTGTGTCCTGGTGTGTGTGTCTGTTCCGTGAAGTTGAGTCAGTGTCATTTGTAGTGGGGGGTTATTAAGAGTGTACAGCTAGGTGTGTTTCGCTGCTGGCTTCCTGGGCGGTGTTACTTCGCAGCTTTTCCTTTTCTTTAACCTTTCGGAGCTTACGTTTTAATCAGCGAAAGAATGTCTCTATAGAAATGCTGGTTGGCAGAGGGGCGTCGGCGTCTTTGGTTTGATGTCTGTGTACGTGTGGGTTTCTCTTTTTTTTTTTCTTCATCTTCTTTTAACGGACAGCTGTAAACGGTTTTTTTTTTTTCTTTTTTTAAGGATATTTCTGTACAGCGTGTCTCACGGGAATGTAAGGCATTACATTTGAAGCTTAGCCTTTCAGGCTTTCGGTTGCATAAATTAAATATTTATTCACCAACTTACTATCTGTTATAAATTGACCAAAAGAAAGCAGACTGCATGCAGCGGGGGTGGGGGTGGGGGTGCGCGGAGCTGAAAACCCCAGGATATGTTACTGGGTTGACTTTGTAAAGATTGTTTTACTATAACTGTGTTTTGTTTTGTTTTGTTTTTTAAAGCTTTTGAGTAACTACATCATGTTCAAGGAGAACATTTGTCAAAAGTAATTATCTGAGTTTGGTTGAAGGGCCTTGCTGGTATGTTTCTGGATTCTGGCAAAGGGTTTTAGATAATTGGCCCTATTGCCCTGCGCAGAAGTGACAGAAGTCCTTCTTAATTGCAGTCTAGTTATTGGTAGCTGAAGTGGCCGGGCCCCTTTATTCATTTTTAGTTTGTAATAGTGTATGCTATGATTTCTCTCTTTATCTGCGGTCCTGTTAATCGCTAAATCACTGTCTCCGTGGATGAATGGGCAGGTAATAGTCATTCTCTAATGAACTGCATCTGGGAGAGTGAACTTATTTGTAAGGAATATGTGAAAAGTAAGCAGTGTTAAGTAAATGCCAGATTGATGTTATCACTGGATTTTTGCTAGAGGAGAGTAGATTATTTATTGTTTGCTCAGCCATTAATTCAGAATTGTGTGGGGAGTGTGCACCGCTTCTGAAAGTGCATTATTCCACTTCCTTGGAGTGGCAGTCAAGTATTATTATAGAGCTTCAGTGTATGTATTTTAAACAAGTGAACAATGAGTTGATTTATAAATATTTTAAAATAATGGTTCATGAATTAGCTATATCTGCCTGCAGAGAATTCTTAATAAATAACAGTATTCTGATGGAATTTAAAGCTAACCATTTGTATTCAATCAGTATATGTTGCTATTCTTGAAAGTACTACACAAGAAATGATTTAATTGTCTAGTAGTGATAAATCTCAAAATAGGTTTCAGAGTTACATGTTTTTTGTTAAAAGTTTCATTTTCCTCTTGCAAAGTTCATTGATGGGAAAAGACACACTAGGAGTCATCAGCACAAAAGAATTAATGATAGACCAGATGTCTCTGTTTTAACCAGACATATTGAACTAGTAGTTATGGTAATTTTTCAATTTGGTTCAAGTTATTTTTCCCCTGGTAGTTGTACAAATGTGTATGTATTCAAAATGTGACAGTTGAAATAAAATACTGAATAAAGTAGCAAATAATTGTTACTGTAAATATCTTTTTCAGAAGTTTGCCATTTATAATAGTGACTTATGATCATTCTTAACTTATTTGGTAAAAAAGAAGAAATGATTCCATTTGGGTAATAGTGACAATTTTTCATATTTTCTTTATGGTTATGTGAATGCATATAGACAAACTTTCTTCCAAACTTGGATGGAAAATATTTTTACTCTTTAAAAGTGATAGTATTATACCCAATGAAAAAGAAATGCCTTTTTTTGTGTGTGCATTTCTGTGATAGAAGTCCTATTTTATATTTTCATACTGCCCCTGCTGATTTTGCTGTGGTGGTGGTGAAGAATTTTTAGCCTTTTCTCCATCAAATGTTAAACCAGATGTCTGATTTTAAAACTAAAGACTAAAGATCGATAGAATATATGCAGCTCAGTATGTGGTTCTTGCAATATATGAACTAAAGAGAAAGTGTCCAAATTAACATTAAGAATAATCTTTGAAAATATGCCATGTATACTTTTATATATCTATATATGTATGTGTGTATATCTATATATATATGTGTGTGTACATATATATGTACATATATATATCCTACTGGTGTGTATGTATGTGTGTTTGCATGTGATTATCTTGAACGAAAGGATATCAGGGCAGAGGAAATGCAAAATAGATTTTTTGAACTGAGACCAAAAGCTTATATTGAAGTGTAACTTGGTATTCATTTTTAAGAAAAATGTATATGGAAGAGCAGTTCTTTCCAGAGTAACTGAGAACTTCCCTTCGACAACAGAATTTTGGTTTTTTTTCTTTGTAAGAAAAGTATCCGGCATCCAAATCTGTAAACTGAGTGGCAGCTCCAGGGATTTTGTTTTAGATGGAGATGTAGCTATCAAGCTCCACCAATTTTCTCATAGAAGTATGTCCTGTTTGGATGTGGTGGGCTTGTTTATCTTAGGAAAGAAGGACTGGTGGCATAATTCCCCTGTATTTTCAGGAATGTGGTGATTATTAACAGGCTGCCATTTTAAAATAGTAATATGACATCTTTGCCCCCCCCCCTTTTTTTCTTTCTGCCCTGCATCAATTGCAGAAATTCAGCCTTCAGCCTCTCCCCTTCCCCCTCGGCCTTCTGCAGTTGTGGTTGTTACTTAGCGCAGGGCCATTTAATATGGAGTCTGCTCCCAAACCAGATGCATTTTCATCTGTTTTATCTGCTCGTCTAAGGTTGTAGAGTCTCAGAGGATCCCACAATCACATGGAAGTGTCTTCTGTCTTAATATTTGTAGCCCACAATAAGAATAAAAATCAAAACCATAACTCATGTCGAGCTGGGGCTTTGACTTTAATCCTTTTGACTTTTATCTCAAGTCTTCACTCTGTTACTATAAATACAGTTTAAACCATTGTGAAAGGATCTTCATGCTTCTTTGTAAAAAATGGGGATTTGACAGGACTTTGTTTTACTGCACTAAGGGGTTTCTTTGTTACTGGCTTAACACAGAACATACTGTTATTTATATATTTAGTCTAGGTTAATTCTTTCTTTTTTTTGACATGCAAAAATGTTGTTGCTTTGAGAAGTGCTTTTTGATAGTTTCATCAGTTTGTTCTATAGGGAATGCTGCTGTTAAGATAATGGTTCAATGTATTAATTTGTTCCCTGAGTTTCCTTCTATTTGTTTTGTTCCTTACAATCTTTGTTTAGTCTCACTGGCACCTGAAAATAAATCTTAACAATCTTCAATAGCTTTGTGCTTGGTAACATGGCTGATTTATTTGCTTGTGGTTTAGATACATTCACACAGATAATGAATATCGGTGGGTTTTTGGGGGGGTGGGGGGGGTTCAAGGTGACCTTTAGAAAAAAATTTTAATGGCAGATTTGCCTCATTGTTGGGAAAAAAGCAGGCACATACTCCTTTATGCCCTAGCAGAGTTACTGAAGGTTTTAAGTAAATTGAACTTTTGTAAATCATACTGTATTAAAAATTAAGTAGGGGTTTATTAATTAAAGGAAATCTGTGTGACTCTTTTGCACAGTGAAGATTCTTTTGCATAATGCATTATATTCTAAATAAACTGTTAGGGTTTTTATCAAATAAAACTGAATGGTAACAGTTGCTGTTAAACTAGAAAACAATTCATAATTGTTCATTTACAGATTGCCTTGCCTTTTGTTTTTGTATTTTAGAAATAAGTGTAATTTTTCAGGGGTGATGAACATAGCGTAGAGCAGAGAGTGTTGGTCTTGCTTTTGGAATTTTCTCACTGTGTTAGTGGTGCTTAGATTTTAGGTTAGGACCAGGCCTTTGTAACAGCAGAGAACATTTTGACTTGTGATTTGGGGTAAGCCCCAAAGGTGTACGTGAGCATAACTGTGACAGTGCTTACTGATTTAAGAGACTGGCTGATGTGTTTGGCAAATGGAATTTTATTTTCAATAGCTTACATTTCAGTTGGCTTGCTTCAGCTGTTTTCTGTGATTCACACATAGCATCATTTCTTTATGTCTATATCATCATCTTTCTTTCAGATATGGAACTTAAATTTTCATTTTGCAATTTCAAAGATGGAAAAGAGTTAGCAAGCTCTGTGCCTCTCTTAAAAAAAAAAAGGAGTTTCAAGTTGGGGGGGGGATGTTTGAAATAATGAGGGATGTGAACTTGGGGCAGTGTATATGTTGTTAATTTTTTATTTCCTGCTGACATGAAAGAGAATTTTAAGAATTCTTTCTTAAGTTTTTTTCTCTTTGACAAATTCTTTGGTCTCAGATGAGCATATGGTAGCTTTTAGACTTGTAGAGTTATACCTGTAAAGGAATTTCACCACAGAACAACAAACTGATACAGTAATTAAATTTAATTTTTAATAATGTAATCATTTAACATGTCACTGAAATGCATTGGAAATGTGAAGTTTGGTCCCTAAATGTTCTGAGGACTCCTACATAGCATATGGGTCAAATGCCAGGGGCGATACAAACTTATATTCTGAAGGCGTTTAGAGTTCAGTGGGGGAGATGAGTGAACCTGGAGGGTGACTGATCAGACAGACACCATCCATGGGCATCACATGGATGATCAAGAGGTGCTAGTTTATAGATTTACAGAAGGGAGAAGTTGACTGAAGAAGGCTTACTGGATTAAGTGAAGCTTGATTTGTCCTTGGAATATGAGTAAGATTAAACAGGTGACGATAGAAACTTTCTAGGAACAGAGAACTATATGGACAAAGGTGTGGTGTCAGGTGAGAGGAAGTATTCAGGGGACAATGAACAGTCCAGTCTAGAAATCTCAGAAGACTTGAGGGGAACTTGCACTGCAATAAAGTTGAAAATTAGATTGTGACTCAATTGGGGAGGGGTTCAAAAAGTCATTTTAAAATAGTTGGACATTGTAAATTGTAGCATGGGGCTGATGGGGTAGTGGGGTAGTAGAAACACACAGTGTACATACATACTCCCAAATGACTATCCCTTATAGAGAGGGGACTCCGTCACTTGGAGAATCTAAAACCAAAATTGATGTTGGAAATATTTGATTAAAAAAAAAACACAACTTTGTTCTGTGACATAGTCTTCCAAATGAGGAAAAGTAAACATTAGTAAGTACTATACATTGCATTTGTAGAAAACGTATGCAGAGCACTCATTTGCCGAATATACTCCCTTGAGATCCGTGGGTAGCAGGAGTTTGCTCAGTAATTCATTCTCCTAGTGTGTGGTTTAATGATGGGTCCAGTATCTTCACCTTGTTTGTAAGGAG